TTTTTAAAAAAATATTCAATAAAACGATTAGTAATAATGTAATTTAAAAATATCTTTATTTTTATTAATTGTTCACATCCCCTTTATTGTTTATCGGTATTTAGGATACCTCTTGATTTTTTTTTCTATCACTTGATTCTGATCTGATCTGCTGGCCAGATGATGCTAATCTTGTATCTCATAAGAATAATGCACCTGCTCGTTGAACTGATTATCAGCATATAAATTACAAGATAAATATTCATCTTATTCGATATCTTACTCTGATTCTCCATTAATATTATCCTTGACGTTATCGATATTGATTCGTCCTATATTATGACATACGTTATTCAACTACCAATATCAAATTTCGATCTTACAATTTTCTCGAATCCGTTTTACTATCTGTGGTCATATGACTCAAGATCATTTCTTTTACAAGTCGATAAGCATCGCGAAATTTTTGACGCACGAGCAAACACTGATAAGACAGACAAGGCTTTGATGTCATCATTGACAATAATTATTATCTATACCGATTTTTCACGAAATTACTGTATATACCGGATGTTCCAAAACTCATCGCCCTATTTACAGTTATAAGCAAAGCAAACGAGGCGATGACTTTTGCAGCACCCCGTATAAGCGAAACCTTCCGACCACTTGCGATCTGCTTAAATGCTTTGGTTATGCAATAATATGGGAACTAAAAAATTTTATTCACGTCACACTTTCTTTTTCATACGTATCTTTTTCCATCTCTTTTCACTCTCGTTCACTCGATCTCTCAGACTCTCAATTCTACACTCACTTTCGTTCACTCCTTTCCAATGCACTTTCACATCAATCTTTCCTTCTAAACACTTTTATTACCTTGAACGTTCTTCCTCTTCCAGATCGCCTTGATCGTCGTATCGTTCCAATACAAGACCTTTGACACGACCCTTGATTAACTCTAAGGTGAGCCTGTTGTCAAGCACAAAAGCTTTATAAATTGCCATAAAAAGTTAATCAGTGAGCATAAAGCTTCCTAATGGGATATAAATACGTATGTATAGCACGCAGTGAACTATTTTAAGAAATTTCAACATAAAAAGCTATTTTATACAGAATAAACCGAGATGAATAATGATTAATGATAAATCAAATAAATCTATAAAAGTAAGAGCTATGACGAAATTTCATGGATTATAATAACTATAATAATAGCTTTACCGACATATAGGATATACCTGAAAATCAATACAATTATATTGATAAGAAACTTGGCACAAACTATTGTTCCCTTTCTGCATATATCCTTGCGGTAGCCATTGACGAAAAATTTTAATTTCAAATTTTTTTTTTTTCTAATTCCAACATCATACTCTTTTCTAGTTTTCGTAAATTTTCTATTAAAAATTTTTCCACTAATATTCAACTGCAATGTTTTTACAAATTTTGAATTTTCCCGCGATGCTATGCTATTTCAACTTTTTATACTGCAACCACGTTACGCAATGTTTTTACATATAAATTAATCAAAAGCACTCACGATACGTTCACTTACGTGGGGCAACGGAAAGTATACGGTTTATTGTGTTGCTAGGTGCCCCTTTGAAAATTACAAAATTGTCTTATCAGTGGCAGATGTGATTTACGATACCCAAAAGATTTCCAGCTATCTGATAATAAAACGGGATATCTTACCTGTAACATTAATAATATGAAAGTCCTATAGTTACAATAGTAATAATGGGATGAATAAGAGAAAAAAAGAATGTTGTGTTGCCTTTCATAGAAATTCAGATAGGTTATTTATGCTACAAAAAATGTTTCTATCCTTGAAAGTATCTGTTGTAAGAATAAATCTTGCAGGCGTGTCGAAATAAAAATCACGAGAGGCTCGACGCATTCCTTCCTATACGTATAATATTAAAAATCGTGATGTTTAACGTGCCATAAACTAATATAAAATTATTACCTCAACAAATGTCAAGTACAGTACGAAAAGCAGCCTTTAAAGCGGGCTTTAGTTATGGATAAACACAAGACAGAAAGACGTAATATTCGTTTATGGTGAACAAATTTATTTTCAGTAGGCCAAACCGAAGACGTTAATTGCATAAATTTCAAATAATAATAATAAAGTGCAATACCTCGTCCATACTCAGAAATAGAAAAAGCACTTTTTCTTTTCGTCGAAATACCAAAGTTAAAAATTCTAAACACCATTTTTACACGTAACACAACAACGTAATCATTGAACTTTATGACGTTTTCAAGGAATCGTAATTAAATTTTATTTACACGTTAAACAAGGCTCGTTGCCATTGGCAACAGTCGTTGAACTACTCGAACGAGCTATGTTTTTTAACGTAAAAATTCGAAATACCACGAGATAAGATTTCAGGTAGATTATCGATTTTTCACAATATTTTCTTTTCCCCTTGTATCGTATTCAATCAAATTCCAAATTTCAAAGATTAATGCTTGACGTGGATTTCGCTTGCGTCAATATTGGCCTTGGAGATCAAAGGTATCACGTCATTGGCCTTCTAGCAAGTTAATTGCTGCAACCGCGTACGTATCCGTACATTGCCATGGAAGCGCGAGGAAGTGCGAATGGCTCGAGTATTAAATCTGCTGACAGTCGGTCCGACAAATTTATTGCATGAAAGGCATCACTTTGACACGCGTTACGAAATTCATTCAGTACAACACGATCGTTTTCTTAAGTACTTAGTACTCTTTTATTCCTCGATAAATTGTCCTATGACGAATGCAAATAGCATCTGCGTGCTGTGCATACACGAGTGCCACCCTATCGTCATAATATATTTTGGTCGCGTGAAAAATCGTATAATGCATTTAAAGATTTATAATCGAGTCAATATATATGCAAAACCTTTAACAAACAATTTTGTTTATTCTTTCGAGCCTTTCATGCACACCGGTAATATAGGTTTGATAAAACGTTTAGCCGCTAATTAAAGCACGCGAATGGACCTCATTGTTATTGTACAGTGTTCATAAAACAATAAAGCCGTATCAGCTTAAATAAATTGGTAACAATTAATCTTGAAGATTATACCGGGAACTGGATTAACAAAGCTAATTCACACGGCTGCCTATTTAAATTCGTATATTACAAAAATTGATACCTCATACAGAACCGTATGCCTTAAGATCGTCAGCCCGTTTTATGGGAGAAAATTTTCTTAAAATTTTTAATTTTATCCTAGCCAATTATCCGACTGGAACTTCCTTCGAGGAAGGGTGTAAATAAATCCTATCTTTATTGAATGCATCCCTCAAGGATTTCCTACCTGGAAATAAATGACCTCGGACGATCCTCAATCTCGAAAGGCTTTGCTATGCATAAACCCTTGAAGAATGAGTAGCGATTACCTGTATCCAGTGGCCTATTTCGACCGATTCAACAGGTTGCATTCGTGCTTCGCAAGAGTACCACTACCCCAGTATGTACCACTAGACATAGTTTATCAAGTGGTAACTAATAACCATGGCTAGTGTGCTCGGTAAACTTGAATTTCATATGCATATATGCATAGGTAATAGACAGTCTATTGATAAATCAGTAGAGCACTCGGTCGATGTTACTTAATTCGATATTCCCTCTGATATTAGCATACGGTAGAATTAGTAATTACTAATAATAAATGGCACATTAATAAAGTATTTAGCCACCTGTGTAGTTGCTTTACGAGAAAACAAAAATTATGATGCTGATAAAAATTCTACACGCGAATCAATCAATTAGATAAATAATTAAAAAGTATATCTTGCACGAACAGATAGCGTATACGCGATCGAGTAATACCATGAATATAATTTTTTTAATTGGATAATATTAATTAATCTATCTCAAAACGACCTAATATATTAATATAATGTACAAAATTTGAGATTACCGATTAAACATTTTCCGATACCCGTATAAATATTAACAGCGATACAATCGTCACGGTTAATCGTTTATCGGCATACTCTGATTCGAGAATCACGATGCAGATCTAAGATTAATTATTTGTGTGAGTTTACAAGTGTATAGGAATTTTTACGTTATAATAAAATTTATTTGCTAATTTAAAATTTATATAAATTTAATTTAATACGTCTATCTATTTTTCAAGTAAAACACTCCGACGTCAATCGATATATCTGACGTATAATGATACTGCAAATTGTTAAGCCGATTCCCCGAAAAGTCTCAAAGTCGAAACACTTACCTACATACTTAAGGACATTTAAGGTCACTCAATGATAATTAATCTGGGATCATTTATTTTTGGAATACTCAGGATACCTCTTGCGGTGTTATCAAAAATTATGACAAACCGTGCGTCATAGAGCGCTTAGACCGACGATTTATCGCACAGCGAAATCTCCGTCGTTTATTATATAAAGACAGTACCAAAAGCGAATTCACTTACATTCGTACTACTTGTTGTTAGTCGTGCGAGTGCAAAAGGCATATCGAGTTCAGCGATAAAGAAATCAAAGAAAGGTTGGTGGATGCAAATAACATTACAATAACGAGTCAAGCTTTTAATCATAAAAATAATAAATTTTGTAAAGTGTCAAAATTCCACTAATTCTCGAAATCATTCGATTGTCGGTCCGCCCCACAAAGTCAGCGATCTCGACAAGAACTTACAATGGCCCAGGGCCAATGCGGAACGTTGCATCGAAGTAAAATATCGCTGCCTGAAAGAAAATAAGGGTGAAAGTGTTTTTCAAAAAAATACATCAGACCCGTCCAAAAAATACGACGGTAACTTTTACGTGAGAATAACGAAACAGCCTATAGCTTCCGACTTGAAGCATATCGTCGGTTCAATAACGTAGCATAATAATAACGTATACAAAAATTCTCAACCTTGTCCATATCGATTAATCCTACCCCCAATGTGTATAGGGATACAATAAAAATTTTAATAAAAACAAAAACTGCACAGAAAAATACATTGAGATCAATAAGTATCGTGAAAAAAAAAAATATTTTTCCATTACAGACACAAGATGACGTTATCCGAATTCCGCAAGAAGAAGCTGCTTTACGTGTTCAATGCCTTTTTCGGTAAGTAACCTTTCTCAATACTCCCCAGCAATGGTTTCCCACCCGTAATGCAGGGACCGAAAAGTGCGTCCTAAAGCAACGAACAACGTAAATGCTCCCTTGTCCTTCGTTGCCTTCGCTCTTTCGAAAGCAGCCGAAATATCGAGCCGAAGTGGATACGTGCACAGAAGACCACGAGGGTTCCATGGGAAAAGCGTATAGAGAACCTTCGCCTATTTATGGTACGAGGATACCCGTCAGAAACAATGGACGCGGCGCGTTAAGGGGTTGCACTGTGTAGATCGTTGTTGAGGTTAGGAATGTGTGAACGCGCGGAGGTCACAAGCTCTCACGCCTCGTAGCCTTCGTTATCCCTCCTCGCTTCCCTTCCTTACTTTGTCCCTCGTTGCCGCTAAACATATCATGCTCTAATCCGTTCAATCATTTTCACACGTCTTCCTCGCTGCTGTGTCTTGCCTACCAGCCTATCTTCACGCCCTTGGTATCACAATAGATTTCACGATTATAGACGAATGCACGAATCCATCGCGAGGCGCGTGAGGACTCGGAGAAAATTTTGATAAAAGCATATAAGCTACCTGAATTTTTATTGATCCTTCGAGAAACGAGGAAAGGTATGAAAAAAAGTCGAAATCAGAAAGTGAATATCAATTTTTTGGTATAAATATAGAAAAAAAATTTTTTAACACCAAATGTGACTAATCGTTATTCCTAGGTGAAATATTTGAATGGTATAATAAAAATATTACAGTAATTTTATACTTTTCAAATATAGGATATTATCGGACAGAGAGAAGCGAGCGATCGAACTATAACTATATCGTAATACGAAGATATTGAAAGCGTATACTTTTGACTTAATAATTGGCCATTACGTAAGGAAGCATCCTGGAATACCATTCGAAGTTGGATAATGATTAATAAAATTCATGACGGGAACTATCGATCTACGTATCTGAAGCATTACGTGGGCGGGTGGAGAAGCAATATCGTCCAGAGGGGCCTCCAGTCGTATTTACCCTCGTGATATGGTATAGCAGGCTTGTATCGACTATACCGTATATTATATACCATATAGGCATGTGAAGTCCGCAACGAGACGTAAACCGGGACACTAAAAGTATCGCGATAGCGAAGTCGCTTCAAAAGTAACTGCCTGAATCTCGCTTCCCTCTGTTCTATTGCGGATGATAAGGCTTCGCAAATTGTCCCAACCGGCGGACAATACGCAGGGCGTCGCGTCGGCTGGCAGTGCCTGTGACGTAGGCAGACGGTACGTTGCAATAAGTATAAAGTGGGTAGGTTTAGAATGCACTTTTTAAAGATATACAGAAATTTTGTGGTTACTCTTGCAGGATGTTGGAATTTCTATGCACGTTGCGATAAAGCTCTTTGTGACGTATCGTTTTGGAAGCGTCTTTATTGGCACTTGATTCTTCCTCAGAGAGACGAGCAATAACGCGCTGGGGATGTAATATCGCTTTGTTGTTCTTGGCAATTGTTTTTTTTTTTTTCGCCAAGGTCTGGGACCCGGGTTCATCGTAGGCATCGTGGCTGTGTGATTGTGGAATCCTGCGAAATGCGTGAATTAAGTAGCGTCAATGGGGGCCTTTTGAATTGGGTACGAAGCTCGGGGAAAATCAGTTTGAAAATAAAGTTGGGTCGACCGAGAAAACTAATGACGTCTGATTCAAACGCCGTGACGTGAATGCCAGACGTCGCTCTGCTTTGGGTTCTGTGCCACGGCCCGGAATTCCTGTAGATTTCCCTGAATTCACTGCTGGCTAGGGACTTTCTCAAAAAGAGGTATACCTGGATGGTTTTCGGGAAATACCAATGTACATAGGGAGCATCGATTTGTATTGAAACTGGATGCCTAATGTTGTATACGGACGAGAATGAAAATTCCTCAGGATGAACTTACAGTGGATCCCATTAGGCAGATTCCTGAAGAAATTCGATTTAGGGATTTTTTTATTTTGTCATTTTTAAAATGTCCTCTTTCTTTTTTCAGATGTCAACCAGAGTGGAAGCATCGATAAGAAAGACTTTGATCTGGCCATTCAGGTTGGTATGGTTTTAACTGTGTATTCTTGTAATGTATATTTAGGAGTGAAGGATCATGGTAAAATTATGGTTAAGCGGCCAAATCGAGATTGGATACTTTTGATTTGAAAGTTGGCACTTTCATTTTCGTCAAACGTTTCTCGACCCAAAAGTGATCTTGGGACGCATCGAAGTCCAATGAAAGCAGACCGGAGCTTTGTCAGCTAAATTTATTCGTCCCGATCTAACGTCACACGCGATAGAGACTGATAAGACGGACGAGGGGTCGAGATTGATACTAGATGCGAGAAAAGTACAAGTCTTCTTTTTTTTATTCTTCTTCTTTTTCTTTACCAAATGCGTCCCTCTGTCGTTTTTCGCATCGCTGCCATCTTCGCTAGAAACAAATCACTCAGCGTCTCCCACGCCCTCCGAACTAAAAATAAAAAGGAAAGCTTGCTGAGCCTCTGGAAGAACTTAACGTTGATGGTATCTACTTCAAATGGTTTTTGACGCGTAACCAACCACTGATGAAATTACGAACTCGCATCTTTTGCGTATTCGAAGTTCGCCGCTCGACGTAGATAACGGGAAAACGGGTCCACGTGGGTAATTCTATAATAAAATTTTGATCGAATTAAATTTTGATTAAAAAAAAGTATCCGTGTCTTTTTAACGAAATATTAAATTGGCTCGTTGAATCTTAATATTTATTTTAATATAATAGAAACGAAGCTACGCGAAAACACTGTTTTTAATATTTCATCTTAGATTGCACCTTTAGTAGTATCCTTATCCTACCATAAATTTGGGCCCATAGCTTTGAGAACACTTGAACTCGGGTTTGCGAACGCTATAATGGTTCTATAGGTTCTCTAGGCTCATGTGACTAACGTCACAAACAGCAAGACCAGCTGATCGATCGTGACATCTACTTCAGGTTTGTCGTATTTCAGCGGGTGTCCGATTCCAGAGGATGGGGACCCGACAACCCCAAGAGCCAGCAGGCCAAAGACACCTTGCTCAAAGTTTGGGATGGATTGAGGCAGAGAGCTGATGCGGATCAGGACGGACAAGTGAGTGTACACAGTAAATATACAATATAAATATAATATTGTATAAAAATTTTAAAAAATTTATATTTTTATCTATCATCCTTATCCATTAGATTAGCCGTGACGAATGGTACTCCATGTGGGAGGAATACGCCAAGAACCCAGCCAAGGCACTGGAGTGGCAGCAAGTATACATGAACTTTATCTTTGACCTGGAAGATTCCTCCGGTAAGTTTTACGAACTCTCCAGCGAAATGAACCTCGGTAGAAATTAAAGTTTACCCCATGTAAAATTGCGCAACGCACTCAGGAGGAGGCAGCCAAACTAAACAGGACTAAATCGATGATGTGGTTGGTTGGCTGAACGCATTCCTAACCTTAGTTTGCCTTGCGCTACCTACTCAAGCAGGGTGGTCCAAGATTCACGGTAGACCTGGATGATCCTCTACCCCAGTTTCACTGAAACTCCCCCATCCGGCAATTGCTTCCCATGCCTTTCCTTTCCTTTTTCATTCTCTACCCAAGCAACGAACTATTTGTTTACGTGGAATAAAAAAGTACTGTGACCACCGGGGGAGGTTCTGCGAAAGGGAAAAAAAAAACAGTTTGGACCACCCTTCGGGAAAACAGACTTCGGCGCTAGTGGAAACGATCAATCTTCGATCAAATGCTTCTTCGGTGGGTCCAGAGACTCCGGCTCTATTTAGTCCTTACCGTATAATTTTTAATATCGACCGGACCTTTTCGAAAAAAAATTTTATTCAAATCTCCCATTTTATCCCATGAAATTTTCTCGATCTTCCAGGCGACGGCTCCATCGACGAGAATGAGTTCAGTCACGTTTGCAGCAGTTACGGAGTCCCGGAGGCTGAGGCCCGAGAGGCTTTCAAGAAGCTTGGTGCGGTAAGTAAATCTACTTTAGGATCTTTTATTCTAGAATTACGTAAACGCGACATCCCTAAAATCCTTTATACAGTAATCTACGTAATTTCATATTTTTTTGGGGAAAAATTCGCGTTTACCTTCTCGCGATATACATAGAAGTTTTCTTATGTTCAGAATCTCAGCGCCCAAGTATTTGCCAGTGAATACATATAACTTGCCGTTTCCTCTATTTTCATTCGGCTTCAATGCTCTTCACGTCTGAATGAGATATCACGCTCTGTGGTTACGTGCTGGAAACTAGACTGTAACTTCGGAATTTCGTGCACCAGTCTAATCGATGATTTTAGCAGTGATTCGGTAGTAGAAAATCAACAAGTCCACCCGGAGGGAAGAATCTGTGTGAAATTAATTATAATCGTCAATCGATCAAGACTATGAAATATGACTACAGGCAATTCTATAACAAAGCTCCGATAGTTTATCATACATAACAAAAGAAGCACTAGCTGCTCCATATACGTATATAATAACAATAAATATCAGGCACAAATAAATATAACGCTTGATGATTCTTATTCAACTACTGAAAATCCCTTTAAAAAACTAAACCCTAATACTCGGCATAAGGGTTTCTCAATTTTTCATATCTTGCATAAAAAATCTTTTTTCTTTTAATTTTTTCATAATTTATCACTCGCTTTACCACGCATCGATCTTAATGTGTGAGATGACGCTTGCAGAAGCTTTTTAATAGGCTACAGTGTCTGTCTGAAGGGAAGATCTGTACGTGGCGGCTATTGTTATGGAAACGAAAGAAAGGATATAAATGACTGACATTCAACTTTTTTCTTTTTTCTTTTTTTTTACAGGGTAACGAAGTAAACCGCGACAATTTCGCTGATCTCTGGAAACAATACTTCTCCTCCGACGACCCGAACGCACCCGGAAACTTCATATTCGGAAAGACTTCCTTCTAATTTAAACGATCTTCAGGAGAGTGAGCGTCGTTGCTCGCCATCGTCACCTGTTACTATTGTGATTTTCCCATTACTGTTGTTTTAATCATCGTCCTATGATTAGCGTAACATTATTATTATTATTATTTTAAATTACCAAGGTGATTTTAATTAATGCCTATAGTATATAACCCGTAGTTAGTCATAGTCCTGCCGAGTGTCATGAACTACCGGAATCGTAACACCTTTTATTTTAATTTATGCTTTTGAGTTTTGGTTAAAAACAAGAAAAAAGAATTATCGTTATGGAAAATAAAGTAATAATATACTTCGGTGGCAAAACGTCAAAAATCACTTGAAAAATATCCGATCGTATTCGTCACATACGATCCTCCACGTACATATATGTGTTATATATATATATATATAAAGGGAGCGTTCGCCTCGGATCTCGCTACAGAAATAAGGATAGAATTTGAAATTTCTGGAGAAGACTCATGCGACCGCATACGTTAGATCTGCCATTTCCATACTTTATCCTTTTTTTTTTTGATTCTTGCAAATATCCTTTCACGATGGCATCCATCGGCATAAAAGTTTTCACGTTCAAAAGTGTCCACTTGGAATGTCGAGTACGTAAACGACTCTCTGATTTGATGTTTTCGCTTTTTTTTTTCTATGTTAAAAACCTCGGTTACCCATGCACTTTGAATATTCGTGATTCGCGTCAGTGAAATTCATTCGATTTCAATACATAATAATGATCTATACCGGAAATGGAATGTCTAGCGTTTACGAGACTCCAGGTTCAATTTCATTGCCATTCATAACTCGTAATTCATGTGCCGTAAAAACGTATATAAGAGAGCTCGTGTGCGATTTCATATTGGCTCTATCATCCTTTATTAGAATCGTTATCACAATTTGCCAACAGAGCGTTCGCGCGAACGTTCGTAAATACACGAAATGTTATTTACACAGCGTTTGGCAAACTTCGTATGGAGTACCTATATCAGAGTTATTTGATAACGTGTCTTATTATCTTTGGACATATCTGTACACCTTATACATTCAAGTGGACGTGTTCTCAAATTGTTCTTTAGACTTGTGTATACTATACATAATTATGCATATCACATATACATATACCTATATAACCTATATACTTTGTCACAGATAAAATTTCTTTCTTGTAAACGAATTAATCGTTCGTTGGATACGTATGATATTGTATAGTACAGGCACACTAAATGTTTCAATATTCCATGAATTATTTATGGGAATCGCCATATTATCTTTTGCAACAAAATAATTGGAGTATAACTTACGTGTATTACTAAGTGTCTATCCATGTCTGGATATCCAAAATATAGCTATCGTACTCTGTGTGTCAGTGAGTGTTTAGTATTGGAAATCAATTAATGTATTTACTGTGTGCAATAAGATATACCGCATTAAAACCGTTATCGTAGCCAATTTCTAATACTATTCTAATAATTAGATTTATTCTTAAAATTGTCTCAGGAGTCAATTAAGGTTCAATCCAATTTTTTAATAAGATATTCAAAGTTTTATTCATTCTATTGATGCCCAATACTAAATAGCGATAAATCGCCAATCAATGTTTCATGCTTTTCAACTGTTCGACTTCTGATCCGAAATACATTCGTTTGCATGATGGAGAAAAGGAAAAAGAGCAAATGGAAAGCAGCCCCGTTGAAAATGACGTGTTTACTGACACGTGGAGTATCAGGGATGTATAGAAACCGTTTTGTAAACCCGATGCCATCTTGCGAGTCGTGCTAGTATTTATTTGAAAATTCGTATTCATTGTCGATCGCTGCCCACGTCGATAGAAATCGAAACTGTCGGCACTCCCATAACTATGGACTCATTTGTCGTGTAAATAATAAATTTGACTATTGTGTAGAATCATTTAACGCTGAATAATACGGATCATTTCTATAGAAAAGTTAACGCGGTCGTATATGATTTTCGAAATGCTACACGAAAACGTAATTATAAATACATAAGCGCAAACATACATAAATACATAATATATATATATACATATTATATATGAAAAGATATCTAACTCTTAATTAAGAAAACAAGAAAAGATAAATTATTGTAGCAACTCTATAATTGTGACACGAGTGAAATTTATGCAGTAAAATAATACAAAGAAATAAATTATCTTGGCATGTCGAAAATCAAATATATCCTTTGTTCTGTCCTGGTGTTTTGGCATTTATCGAAATTTCCTACTGTAGCATGAAAAACAATGGTTTTCTTATAAAGGTCCTGAGTGCAGTATAGGATGTCTTTTCGGCTGATATTTTACGAGCGATTTTTCTCCAGCGATAAATTGTTTCCAAATCCTGCAGTTCAGCTCTTAACGTTTTCTTTAACCCCTCGTAATAGCGAGAGGTCTAGGAACCCACCCCTAATGACCGCGGGACAACTACGCCAAAACTTGTTACAAATTGCACTGGGAGTTAGGCTGTGCACTTTTAAGACTAATTGGATTGAGAGAGAGCCTCGTAATAGTAAATGAAATTGATGTAATGGGGGCTTAGAAATTTTTATCTTATATTACGAATCACGAGTTAATGTGAGGATAGAGAAACATTTTTTTATCTTGCATCGCCTGCGTGCTATATATTTTTTTTAAGTATTTTTGTTCCGTGAGTTGTTGCAATGAAATATTTTTATTAGAGAGGAGGTAAAGGTTCATATGTTGGTAGTGGGCCGATTGATGAATTTTATTGAGAAGTGTATACATTGACACTTAGAAAATAGGAACCACGGTGAGTAGTAGTTAGAATTTTACCTGGCGCGAGACTCGACCGAGTTTTTTAACATGGGGTATTATACGGGTTGGCAACTACGTTTACTTTCGTGCAGCAAGGGTTGCGGTTTTTAGGCGCACGCGATCCGTCACTGTTGTCATTTTCCACGCGCATTCATAAGTTGACAAGTGATAAATAATCGCTTCAAATGCACCAGTTGGAATCCCAATGCTGAACAAATTATATAAAAGCATCTGCAGTTATTCAAATATTTTTTAACGTAATAATATCAAATAATTATTTTGACATCTGTCAATAGTACAGATGTTCGCACTTAAAAAATTTTACTTTTAAATTCTAATTTGTTTTACCTGTTTGTCATGACGAATGCATAGGATTTCGACGTAGGACATTTTAGATGTTTTTAAAATAAATTATACAAATATTGAAAGCAAGTTTTGATATCTGTGTAAGAGCTTTATATAATTACGCTAATGCCAGATATTGTATGTATGCATAATTACGTACAATATATAAAATATTCTGCAATAACAATTTTTGCGTCATCACATCAGCGTGTATTGGAACGCAGTTACGTTCATTACTGTGTGATAATTTGTCATCGAGGGTTGTGCTTCTGGACAACTTGAACTCTGCTGTTTGGGTACTTCAAATTCTTAATTATTAATTTTACATTCATTACGTAAAGGCGATACTGCAACTTATAAAAACATCTGTGCACCTCTTTGAATGCATTCCACTTATGACCTTTCCAACCTTACAGATCGCTGCTAATCAAAGTGTAAATTCATCGCTCTTCTAAGATTCCTTTCACCCAGTGGAGTTTCATGTACTGTCTACTACCGCCATCTTCCCAACGTATTACAAACCATTTACCGACTGACCACTCCGTACACTGTAAAGAGATTGTTGATCCTGTAAACAAGAGAATGCAGGAAAGTTTGACAATCACCCGATAGTAAACGAATTATCATCTCTCTCTTCATCAGGACAATGCCCCGAATATCTGTCCATCACAATACCGGTGAGTACTCGTGAATTTCCATTCATAATCCTAGACAATAATTATATAACGCTATACATCCTAACCTCAAACTACCGCAGTCTCAGTTCACTCTCATGACAGATAAGCTATTCACATTAACGTGAATGTTAGCAATAGCACATAGTCACTCGTTATCAAACCTCGTGGTTTACATGTCAGTCCGAGGATCGAGAAAATATATCGGAGTCAATTCATTTCGATTTTTATGTCACGCTTGAGAAAAAAAGTCGAATGAGAAATAAACGAATGTCAAGTTCGTTATCAACTTGGTTTTCTCTTTGCGTCCCGTTACAATCTCGTACGCTGCTATTGCTTTTTTGTATTACGAATTCGTCTGACACCGGCAGCTACAGACACAATGACGTTTGAGCTTATCTGCATTAATATACATGTACGAGACGCTCGTTCTTTGGTTCAGAAATATTCGTCGCAGTCTTAAATCGATTGCGTGGATGATTGGTAATTACTGTGCGTTGTGCTGTCATAGATAGTGATAATAAAATGTGAGTACGTGAATATGTTAGAAATACTAGCATTGCTCATGAAAAATTGAATGATCTTTACTGCATAATCGTTGCTGATATTTATATTTTTATCAGCCGTTAAGTTTAGTACGTTTCCAGACGTGACTCAGTCTTGAACTGTAATGCTGTGTAAAGTGTATTATCTGATTGTATTAAATTTAGGCAAATGCGTTAACGATTTGATTTTTATGAAATACTTAACGTTACTTTTACTCCTCAAGTAATGCGATTAATTTAATTTAGTATTAAAACTTGTACTATTACCATCTTTGAATAGGAAAATCTAACATTGTGTAAATTTAACTGTCACTTTTTACTTGTTAAATTATTATAGGTAAATGTTTTTTTTTTAATGGAGCATAGCGTGAATAAAAAATGGTTTACCTTATTGAAATAAACTTAACTGATACAAAATGTATTGCAGTCATGAAATTTCGCTCGTGCTATTATCGCTATCGTTCTTATACCTTTGTATCACCTTATCATCGGCTTATCACCTCTTATACAATTATTTTCAATAATCTTCTATATTCTTGGTACGCTATAAATGCTCCTCGAATTAATTTCATTTCATAAGTTGACGCTTGAGCATAACAATCAAAACGCTTGCGGTGCGCGATAAAGACAATTACTTCGTAAATGGGGTAAACTGAGTGTAATGAGTTAAAAAAAGGATAAAGAAAGATAGGATAAAAAATCCTATGGATTGCACAATTTTTTAAGACAAATTGCTAATATATTAGCAACTAGTTCACGGGACGATGTAATCGGTGAGTTTTGTCGAGCGATTTGTAATTCAAATGTGATAGGGATACAATGTATATTAATTAAAAATTTATTGGTGACAAATAAAAATCAACAAAATTGTTTATTCAACGTCAAAGCGAAGTCGACATTTTCAGTTAAAATATTTCTAACTAGTCTTACATTAAGTCTTTTCATTCTTCACATTTTTCACAGAGCTCCGACTGGTATCTTATTTACAGCAAATACTATGGTTTCAATTTTGAACTGTTGAAACGCATTTTGAAAAAAAAATTGGTGCGCGAAGGCTTAAATATTTTTGTATACGAAATCCAATAATTAAAATTGCATGGATAACATTGTTTGTGACGCACAGGAAAATGTTGATATTATTATAATAATTTTCAGGTTAGAGTGTCACAATGATTTAGAGATTGAAGAGCTCGAAGAGGTGGAAGTATTCAATATGACGTCACTGGGAAGGCTCGTATTCGTCGATATTAACTCGAGACATCCGAAGTCCCTGTATTCCGATGAATCTTCCATAGATGTCACGGACTCCTTGTCGCTCGCATTTGAAAATCTTTTTCATATGCCTTTTGATATCATTGAAAGTTACGGCAGTACTTTGCGCACACTTGATATTAGTCACAACAAGTTTAGCAGGTAAATATAGTAATTTAGAAATAATTGTGTAAATGAAAACCTCATTAATGTCCTGAGAAATTATAATTTTTATTTAAACTACAGATGTTGAAGACTTTGATAAAAAATGATGAATTTTCATTTTACAGAAATCTATACTTCTTAACGGAATTCGAAAATATTTCATCGCTCAATCTTGATCACAATAACATCGATGCTCACAGCATTTTTCCGTCAATGCCAAAGCTTCAGCTTCTCTGGCTGAATCACAATAAGATAGAAGACTTGTTTCCTTTCTTAAAAAATTTATACACGAGCATGCCAAATCTACGTTATCTTTGCCTAATGGGAAATAAGGCTGCACCCAGTTATCTTAATGGCGGCAGTTTCTATGATTATCTTCAGTACAGGTAATTATTTTATCCCCGCAACTTATTTATTATTACTTATGAATTATTACTTATGAATTATCATTTTCTTGTTTCTTTTTCTTTTTAAGGCTATTCGTGATATCGTGGTTTCCAAAATTAGTACACCTAGATGATCGTATAGTCACCAATGAACAACGACTGGAGGCTAAAAGACTGTTTAAACGACCTTTCCTTGAGCAGCTCACAGAAAATGCACAGCTTCCGGAGTGCATAAAACTCCTGCACAATAAAGTCACTAACGTTTTTGGTAAACAAGCGCTGCCTGATAAAATGAAAACGTCCAGAGGAAAAAATTTTATTATCTGAAGCAGTATTATGCGAAATTAAGCTCATATCCTGTAAATGCGTCAAACTGGAAGACTGTCCTTCGTGGGAGAGAATGTTTATGAATTTGATGTTCCTGAAATACGTATCAAAAGTAAAATATACGGAGATCTGTAATTACAAACAAGCACGATGCGTCGTGTATTGCTATGGCAATATTAGAAAAGCCAAATGGGACGTAAAAGGTGTGCACACCATTTAGCATGGAACTTCAGTTATTGATTTCGAAGTTTCCAAGCTATAATTATAATGATATCTTGAGCTGTCAATTACAAAGTAGTAGCGATTATGATATCCTAATTACTGTTTCCCACATGACAATTGAACAAACTATCTAACAAGATTTTAAGTAAAGATAAAATACAGAAGGAAAATATTCTGTAATTTACTAGTCGTAATCAGTAAACTCATTGTCTATGATAATAATTTCTATGAAGGAAATGAAATAATGTATGGTACCAATTAGTTTTATACATTGCCTGATGGCAAATTTTATATAATTTACAAGCATCCTATATCTCTGACAGGTATCTTAACGTACGTAAAAGATTGAACAAAATTGTTGTATGATACATGTACAATGTATTTTTTTATACATCACATATAATCGTATTGAACATCAACGTGCCATCCAATTTAACATTAGGCAGTCAATAACAATACTAAAAAAAGAATAATATATGACGCTAAAATTATTTTTATCTTTGTCTAATCAACTGAAATCTTTCTCATCCATTCTATCTGAATCCTTATTTTGTTTTCAATCATCTCATTCTTGCCATGCTGTGAGATTGAGTTTTGGTATGTCACAGCAAGGAATTAAAGGATTTTTCCATGATATTGTTTTGAAAGCATGATACTGTATCTCTTTAAGGTCATCTGAAGTATCGCAGATGAGACGAGCAAGAGATACTTTTTTGACCTCCTCATATTGTTCTGTATGCAAAGGAAAAAGTATGTATTTAGTATGAATACTAATTTCAAGAAAATAATCATAATTAATTAAACTGACGTAAACGTACCTTCTGTGAAAGAATGTGGAAAGTTGGCATTATCGTAAAAGTAACGATCAGAAACACGACTCCTATAGAATTGCTCGCCAACAAGACATCTTACAGTGGGTCCTAAAATACCACCAGCAATTGGTGTTTCCATAGATCCACCGACCAGCAAATCAATGTCGTCCACGTGTGCATAAATATTCCGAAGTTTCTCGATACCCTAAATATTTTGTAAATCATTATTATTACCCTAATTATTAATTTGATGAAAATCGATAAAATTAATAGGATTACTAACTTCCCGCGGAATTTCACCAATGAGATCATCGAAGTCCTCCGCATATCTCAGTTTGCATATTTTACGATAAGCATTATATCCCGGAAGTCCATGATCTCGTGATCTCTGTATGTCGATCGCTTCCAAATCCAAACCGTACTCGTTCCTCGATCGGAATAGATATTCGGTCAGCTACAAAAAAAATAATTTATACCATGTAAATAATTATAAAATAATTTTTTGCATGAGTAAAAAAATATTTTCCCCATACTTCCGAATCGAAGAAACGATCTGGTGCCATCATTGGTTGAGTAACGAATCCGCGAACAAGATCATCAAAATTATTGCTGCGTTCAACAATTTGCGGTCGGAAATAATGATTACTAAGGCGCAGCGAATGAGCAATGCTGCGATCCATGGGGCATAGGCTATCGATAAAAACATGAATAGAAAAGTGTAATTTTTTCGAAAATTAATAAAAATAGTTTTTTAAACTTACTCAAGATTACCATCCACCATAGAGTGGAAAAATCTGAAAGCTGCTGTGGCGAAACCATTTATAACCGCAGGATTCACTCTTGAATTATAATCGGTCGTCATTATTGATTCGATAGGAATTAATCTATGTTTCTTACAATATTGTTTGCCTGTAACGATTATTTTGAACGTATTCAATTATACAGATATTTTTGATAAAAGTACTAAATCTTGTATTCAATAATTTATTTTACCAAGCACAACAGGTAACCACTCGTGATAAGTGATGTGTTGATATTCGGCAATGACAATTTTTCTAGCTTCTTGGAAAATCTGCTCGTCGCTCCAATGCCGATTTAATTTTGATAATTCTTCTGCTAAGCGATTATGTTCCCTCACCAGAAGTGTTTGTAAAACGACCAAATGTGGATTTTGATTGACCCGAACATCACCTGTTTAAGTCATACAATAATTAATATTAAGCATTCATAAGTATCTTTTACACGTAATTCAAGTATCGACAATTAATTCATACTGTGACGTGATATTTCGATTCACGGTCACAAGGCGACTCCCGATACAGTCAACGTTCTCGCTTTCTGGTTCCCTTCGGGTGGCCACCCTGCTCAGAAGCTGCACTCTCGGGTTTATTCGTATAGTTAGGCCAATGCTCTCGGAAGATTTCGTTATGGTTTAGTTGAGGTCGAGGTGCTCGAATCTGCCGTGGGGAGATAGTCTCGACGTACCGAGTTGCCCGGCAGAGCAGAGTACCCGACGGAGACGTCTCCACGGACCGGCAGAAGCCCGGGTGAGACACCGGTGCCCCGCTGGAGATGGGCAAAGGGCTGTAGAGCGGGTGGATTTATAGTTTTGATACGGTTAAGGGCACGGGAGGGACCCCCTGACCCGGGTTAAGGATGTGGTGGCCAGCTGTCGCCCGATGCCCTGGGGAAGCGGCCGTGGAGGATATCCACAAGTTACGTACCGATTCGCTAAGGAATGCTCTCGATTTGGTTTAAAGGGACGACTCGAGGGAAAGGGAAGAGTTATCGGCTATAAGGCTCTCGACCAATCAGATGATCAGAATTATTAGTTCTCGAATTTGACTATTTTGTCAAAGCAGTCCGTCTCGGGGCATCGACCGAGGTGTCACGAGCTGCCTCGCGCTCCCGTGCTATTTGTTTATAGTTTTTCTAGCCGTGTTTCGATATGGTATAGCGAGTTCTCGTTTGTGTAGTTCTCGCGATATTCAGGAATTTCTATGGATTTCTTGTGAGTGTTCCGGGAGTGCCGTGTTGTGCCCCAGTGCAATGCCCACCCGAGTGTCTCCCGTGCTATTTGCTGGTAGTATTTCTAGTTGTGTTTCGGTACGGTATAGGAAGTTCTCGCGTTGCTCTCGCGATATTCAGGAATCTCTATGGATTTCCTGTGAGTGTTCCGGAAGTGCAGTGTTGTGCTACAGTGCAGTGTCCACGTGAGTGTCCCCTGGATGCAGTTCACGGCCTTCACGGATCAGCTGACCTAGCTCCGGTGAGTCTCCAAATTTATTAATTGGTGGAGGGATTCCGATTTTACAGCTCCGATTCGTTCTGTCACGTTCTCCGTCATTTGCTCTCTGTATTCCGTAACCTAGCAGCCTGAGCGGCCGTGCATTTCCGTTTGTGCATCCAGTTGCGTTTGCTGAATTTACGCGACCCCGAAGATCAGCACCTACGGTTGCGTTTCTCGATTTTACACGTCCCCAAAAGTCTACAGGATCCGTTGAGTTATCGTATTATCTGATAGGTTTCGTCAGAACTCTCGTTTTGGTGGAGTTGGCCCTGTTTCACCCCAACTCCCAGTTCATACCGGCTCGTCAGTTCCCGGTAAGAAAAGAATTGGCTTGCACCCCCCTGGCTTGCGGATGCATGAGCGAAGGATGGACGACCGAAGGTAATGTAGGATCGTTCTCGAATTCTTCGCGAATGACGAATTTTAATCATAAATATTCCAACATCTTACCCCCTTTGTAACAAACTTCCGAAGGTGATCTTATGTCACAAAAACGAGACCGATCAGTTGTAGTAGGCATCATCGAACGACCCTGTCGTATTTCTGTCTTCAAAAGCCCACCATGAAACACCCTCAGACTATCACAAGTGTTCTTATCAGATCCATACATTGGCGAGCAATCTAAATAGCTTGTAGCGCCATTCAGCTATATTAAAACAAAATTATCAGTATAAAAATTCCAAACATGAAAATCAATTTCAACAATAATTCTTGAACCTAACCTGTTCAGCTGGTCCTAAAGTGCAATCGTCCTTTGAAACGGTCATTGATCTAACGAAATTCATACAACGTTGTCCATATTTTGAGTAAAATTTATCTCTGGGTGATAAGACAATCGGCATACAAGAATGATGCTGCAAACTCTTAGGCAATTGTTCATGCCCATCACTGGAACAACATTCAATTCCACCACCGACTGTGAAAATACAATTGCATGAAATTTTTATTTTCTTCATTTTTTTCATAAACCGACCCATAACAAGATAACTTACTTGTTTGGTCCATTATCTGATGGGCAAAGTCATGAGACAAAACTTGTCCCCATTGAACAACTGCTAAAGTAAAATCGGCATTACTTATATTTCGATGTTGAAACAATTGCACACTCAATTCTCTAACGTTGGGCAATTCGTCTCCTGTTACGCTGACTGGAATCTTGTGAATTCCTAGGATACAAATAAGAAACGTTAAAAATTTATATATTCCTTGCGTAATAATTTTAACTGACTCAAACGTACCATCTGAATAACGTGGTGGTACCACTCTTGTAAATGCTGTGTTCGCCTGACCCCACCTGGGATTATGAAAATTATTACACGAACCATCGTAACTACGATATTTGGCGAAACTACTGCAACGCTTTGGTCGCGTTTGACATATCCCACTGCCGGTAACGCGGAATCCATGATTATGTAAAAACTCGAATAAAGTATTAGGCGTGAAATCGTACCTGTGGATCAATAAATTGACATAAAGGATATTAATTATAAATTGTTAATTACGTAACAATAAGTTCGTGCGTGTTAATATTTATCTTAACGAAATAATAATACATACTCTGTAGATAACCTCTCCTGCAGAAGTTTTGCTGCAAATAACGTCAACTCGGATTCTTCATGAATCTTCACTATGGAGTCTTCGACTTTATTATTCAAAAAATGAAGCATGGAGCCCGTGTGTGGTTTTGGTTGAAATCCGCCAGAAACTAACCACCTTGCACGATCGTGCATACCAAGAGCAAGATCATGGCCTTGACTCAAGTGCGTTTTTATGAATCGTAATGGTATGGGATTTCCTTCTGTTATTAAAAAAATTTTTTTTTTTCAAAATCATGATAAAATAATGTTTGCACGTGATATTTTGTAATATTGACAATAAATACTAAATTAGTATTTGCCTCGCACTAACTTAACGCACTTGCATAGAAACTTACCGTTTGGCGATTTTAAAGAGTAATCGAGTCGTTTGCATTCTGGAGTCATGCACATTGATGCGTCACTGCAATTAAGATCCAGGTCGATGAATCGTGTGTTATCGTACAAATTCAAATTGTACAATTTGTTATGGTCAATCTCCGCTTCCGATGGGATAAATTTCTGAAATTGGAAAATTCGATATACAGTCACCTCGTGTCAGATGGAAATCACGTATCAGTGTAGCATCGTAATATGACATGATTCTAAAAGCACCACGTGCCGTTGAATGACGTTTGGGATTACAAGACGGAGATATGATTAATTGAAATCGATTGATACGTCAGTGACTATAACTGTCATATATGGATAATCAGCTATAATATGAATGTCTGTGAGATTAATAGCTACTAAATTTGCATATTACCAGAAATCTAAAATACTTGACTCACCTCGTTCAAAAATTCAAAATGATGTATTTTTCCATCGAAATACAAATTGTCCAAAAATTTACGTTCAAATGCATTCCCGTCCTGGCGATCGATTCCTCTTTCGTTACGATAACGATTACGTTTTTCAGCTACGAATCGATTGCTGTTATCATCGTAATATGGACCTCGGTGTCTATTTCGATGTGAACGTGGCCTGTTGTGATACCAGTCGTAGTCATGTAAATTCTCTGTATTCCAATTGCCTCGAATTGGACACTTTTCATTTCCTCCCATATCAACGAAATCAAATCCGGAATTTGAGATTGTCGATTTATAATTTTCTAATTCACTGTCCGCCCTATCTACTTCTCCGTAGGATATTTTTCTAGCAGCTTCGGAAGCCACATTCGATACTAAATTTTTTACAGTTCTCACAGCTAAGTCGACAATCTTTTCTTTAAGGCCAGTATTTTCGTTCATATTATATTCAATGGCTGCGTCGTTGATAACTCTCTCTACTAATCTCGATCCCTTATCTATCGCAGACTTAAGAATATCATCATCCACTTCCTCCTCCAGTTCATCGTCGCACGGACTACCGTAGTTCTCTGCATTGACTGGGTACACGTTTCTAGGATCATTTTCTACTATATATATTTGACGTATAGGAAGTTTAGTTTTCTGTACTGGAATTCTGCCATTATTGTACCAACGAGCCCGAGTTCCATGGTCATTCCTTTGCGAGACCTTCGCACCTGCATACAAGTTTCTATCGAGTTGAGAAATACTAGCTTCAGTTGCAGTTGCACTTTTCGCGCTTGCCGCCACATCTGATTGTGCAGCAAGGCTGCTGACTCCACTTACGGTTGAACTGGAGTCAATAACGCTGCTACTGGATTGGCTAGTGCTGCTACTGGATTCAATAGAACTGCTGCTGGAACTTGCAGCCTTTGCCATTCCACTTTCTGAATTTATTACTATGTCAACTTCTTGCACCTTGGGCGCACTCAGATAGTCAGCGACATCGAAAGCTTGCGAGCCAATCACAAACTGATTGACGTTACCGACTGTCGAGTCAATTGCACTTTCTGTTGCGCTAATTCGACTTTCTGCTTCGGCAATGGAATTGACGCTACTTCCAGCAACAGAACTAGCAACGCTATTAGCATGATCTAATGACGAACTGATTTGCACATTTGACTCAATTCCAGTATGCCTGTCTGCTATCGATTCATCAGCAACGTCGCAGGGTGCATTTGTATTCGTACTTGAAGTTATCACATTCGCATTTGAACCTGCGACGGTAGCGCCAGATTGTACTTCTGATTGGATTAGATCTTGTTTTGACGCTACTACTTGACTTGCACTTGCTGCAGATGCCAGATTGATTTGTTCTGTTCTTGTACTGGCTGTTGCTTTAGTGCTACTTTGTGCGTTTGAATTGGCTGAAGACTGTGCACTTGCAAAGGCCTGACTATGACTTTGTGATTGTGAATTACCTAATCCATGATTCAAATAAGTTAAATCCGCTGAATCGACGTCATAATCATCGTCTAATTGAATTGTATGACCTTTGACACCTCCGGCTGAACTAGAAACTGATTGATCAATTATCGCGGAACTGGCACTTGCGCTAGCAGATGCAGCCGACTGAGAACTCACACTTTCGCTAACGCTATGCCCTGCGGAATTAACAAATCCATTGTTTATTTGTGTTAATTTGTGACCTACTTGATTTCTACTTTGTACGTTTGAATTGGCTGAAGACTGTGCACTTGCGAAGCTCTGACTACGACTTTGTGATTGTGAATTACCTAATCCATGATTCGAATAAATTAAATCCGCAGAATCGACGTCACAATCATCGTCTAACTGAATTGTATGACTTTTGACACCTCCGGCTGAACTAGAAACTGATTGATCAATTATCACCGAACTGGCACTTGCGCTAGCAGTAGCAGATGCAGCCGACTGAGAACTCAGACTTTCGCTAACGCTATGCGCTGCGGACTGAACGTGTTCTTGGTTTATTTGTGTTGACTGACTAGATACGTCAGAAATGGAACCAACAGCATGAGAATGCACATTCGTTAGGCCTGAATGAGAATTGACTATGACATGACCTCCAGTATGTAGGTTGGAACCTGCAATTACTGCTTGATCAGCCAAGTTCGATGAACTTGCGCATGCATCTGCACCCACTATTTCTGAATCTGCATTTACGATTACGTGACCAACTTCTACTCCTGACTGAACAAGACCTTGATCAGCTGAGATTACTTCACTTTTAGCGCGAGCAGACGAGCCAACTGTTCCCTGTAGCAAGGCAGCGGCTGACCCTTCCTGTGCATTGATACTTGCATGACTACTTGCAATTGCTGAATGTCGATTAGTAACAACTTGTTCCGCATTTTGAACGACGGACTGGCTCAGTCCTGTGGAGGCCGAAGAAGTAGCCGAAGCCGCAGCTGCGGCTCCAAAGACCGTTCCGTGTTGTATGTTAAAGGATCCATCTTCATAAGATTCAACATCACTGACTTGGACTGGGTGACTGTGCTCTTCAACAACTTGGCTGGTAGCACTTGCTGAACTCGCAACATGTGTCTCCTGTGACATGGCACTTGAGTGAATTTGTTGAACATTCTCTACAGTTGAATGTGTAGCAGCGTTTCCTTTTGCTCGAACAGTTGCACCTGTGCCCACATTCACCGAATGACCATCACAAACATAATCATTCACAATTTGTTGTTCAGCGCTGGCGACATGGGCGGAGCTTGTCAATGCTGATTCAACTGATGCTTGAACTGCAGATGCACTTGATTTAGTTGAACTATGCACTGACGTTCCAGCGGATGCTTCAGATGCTGCAACTGCAGATGCACTTGATTTAGTTGAACTATGCACTGACGTTCCAGCGGATACTTCAGATGCTGCAACTGCAGTTGCACTTGCTGCAGCTACACTATGTGCTGCTGATCCTAGAGATATTTTTGAAGTTTCAACTGCAGCTGCACTTCCTGCTACTGCACTGGATTGTGCAATATTTCCAGCAGCATTAGCCGATCTTAAGTTGTTATCAATTAATACTTGATTAGCAGTCGCCACCGAGTCTGCACCTGCTGCACTGCCGGCAACGGAAACTCGACTACTCGCATCTGCTGAGCTGATAACACTTTTATCAGTTAACAATGCTGTTCGTACATGTCCTCCAGTTCTTACATTAGAACCAATGAACCTGTTCGCTGCAGTTGCGGCTCCAATTCTTTGATCATAACCAATATACTGTCCAGGGTGCGCAGGTAGGTTCACAGAATAAGGTTGTTCATCAATTATATCATCAACAATGACGTCAACATGATTTTCGTCGCAATCCTCATCACTGACCAAATCAGAGTCAACAATAACATACTCTGGAGCGTGTGCAATATTGTTGACAACGCCTTCCTTAGCTCGAAGAATTTCTTGTGCTACATTGGCCAATGAGCCGACAGCTGAGGTTGCTAAGCTCGCTGCTCCCCCAACAACAGCAGGAACTGGATTAACTAAAACAGAATGTGGTGCAATGACGGCCCGATGTGAGCCAATCAGAGCGGATGTTGGTTTAACAAACGTCCGTGCTGATTCAACAAGCACCGAACCTGCTGCATGTGCAGATGATTCTGCAACATGACTTGCTGCACTTCCTGCTTCAGCAACTGCGTTTACTTCAGAATTAACAATAGTCTGACCTGCGCTATCAAATTCTTGATGTTCCTGCACAACTCGACCAGCATCCCTTGCAGAATTGATGATTGATTCTTCGTTCATCGTTCCAGACTTCACGTCATTAACCACATAAGCTGTACTTTGGACTTTTGAGCCAACCACCTCTTGATTGCTAGTCGTTATTTTATCACTTACCGAAATTGCACTAGCACCAGAGCTGGACGTACTCAATTCTGATCCGCTGATGAGACCACTCGCGCATGAAGAACCGGATAGAACATTCTCCTTTGTACCAATTGCTTGACTACTTGCTCTATCAATAACATCAGTTACGCCAGCACTGACTGCTCCACCAGCAATACTTGAACCGAGATGAACCGAATCTTTGACAAACGGAATTACCGATCCTTCGTTCACTGATGAAATTTGAGTTCGATCAGTCGCTGATCCGCTTATCGATTCATGATGTTCAGAAGCAGCAGACGCTTGTGCGCTTTTACGGATCGATTGGCTTACAGCTTCCTGAGTGCCGATTGTTCCACTAATTCCAGTCTGACTCTCTTGTGCTTCTACGACCGTTGCACTGGCACTAGCCTGACTCACTGATACGTCATTTAATTGTCCTGCTTCCAAGTCCAAATTTTGTTTTGCACCTGAATAAGCGGATTCAGCACTTAGAGCTTGATTCATATTTACTTGGGACGAAGCAGATGCATGTGCGCTACTGATCGTTGATTGAGTATCGATCATATGCTTGATGCTAGTTTTCTTATCGGAAACAATTAAAGATCCTTGATCTTGAATGACCGTTTTTTTGGAACAACCACATCCTGGATGATTAACAAACAGCTTGTGCAAATTTCCTACATGAGAATGTGTCGTGCCGTGTTTTGGCCTCAATTGCATATTCCTCCTGTATCCGTAGTTGGAAATACTTTTTTCACTTTCCCTCGAAATTGCACTGGCCGTACTGCTGCTAGCGAGTTTGCTGCTATCGGAACCATCTAAAATATAATATTTTGATGATTCTGTCACTGGACTCGTGCCTGAGCTTGCTCGTGGACCACCAATAATGATTGTGCCTGAAGAAGAAGCTTCACTTTTTGCATATGCATCTGATTTTTCAGCAATTTCATCGACAAAGGATGAACCTCCATTGCTTCTCGATGATCCTGCAAATGCTTTTGCACTCGCTGCTACACTTCTGTAGGTTGTTTTTGGAGCGTTCAGCCGTGGAACGTGTTTCGTGTGATGTGAATAAGTTCCTAAAGGTACTGTACGCATCGGACGATTGCTCTCACGCATTATTTGCATATTTTCAAAATCACGTAGATCAAAGTCATTTCTGAAATTTTTTTCCGGTTGTACAATCGTCGAATCGGATTCGAATTGTCTTGCGATTCTTGGATTTTCTTGATCCTCGTAGTAATCTGGTGAAAATGGATTCCTACGATAAGAACGATCATCTCTGTAAGTTTGCACTCTTGGGTTACTTCGCTTCCCGTTTATATTCCACTGATGATCTATCATGTCTTCATCATTTTCAGTACGTTCAAGATTTCCTGGATCTGTTGATCGCTTTGTAAATGGAAATGCGACGTTATCGACGCCATCCACTTCCTTGTTGATACTTCTCAATATGATAGTGTCTCCTTGTATTTCCGGCGGTGTATCAAATTCCGGTATATCGTCCGTACCATAAATCGAATCCCAATAAGCCCTATCGCTTACATGTTCGTATGGTAGATGTATTGATTGTTGAAAACCATCTTTGACCTCGGTAACTTCAGGGTTGGTAAAAGTTGTTAAACTTGGTTCAACGATATTCACGGTTTTTCCAAGACCAAGGAAAACCGCGTCCGACTCGTTAATTGAATCAGTCGCCACGATTGGTTCATCGGCGACATGATCAGCTTTGGTGCAAAAAATAGAGGCTGCTACAAGAAGCAGCACTCCTAATTTGAACTGGCACCAGCGCATTTTGCGGCAAAAGAAGCCGTTCACGCTGGAGTAAGGATTCGCACTGCAAAAACGATAAACGATCAACTGACAAGAAAATTCGACAATGCACAACTTGAAAATAATGTACGAACGATATATCCTCTGTTGTGTAAGACAAAAACAAGGATTGCGTAAAAATGTAAACATAAAAAATACGTTGGTTTATTGTGTAACGTAAAAATTTGATGACACTGATATTTTGCTAACGTAAGTATATCCACCGGTGGATTACTAACAAACCGTGTTATCCACTGTGTTAATATACGAACCTATAGGGATTCATATAAATAATATTATGAACAAGACTCAAATTAGCTAAATTGTATAGTAACAACGTAATAAACAATCTTACTCGGATAAACAATTTTATTTCTTATTATAATCGTATATATAACTGGAGTGCTTGGGTGCCTGCGGTGCGTAATCCTTCCAGAGGGAAAGATCCACTGCTGGGAGATCCGAACATCTGACGACCGGATTACTATTGGGATAAAAGAGAAAAAATCAATTATTATTAATACAATATTTGAAAATAATACAATATATTGTATTGTATAAGTAATAAATGTTTTATATAAATTGAAATAATCTTACTGTTTGGATATGAGTTCGAAGCCTCTCAGTTGCATCGTTTGAATGTGATTGCCGTTGTCACAGAAAAGTCTGGACACACTAGCCTTGCGAATTTCATTCAATTGTTCTGAAAAGTCAAATATATTTTATGTGAATATTTTCATTGCTATATTTATTGTTATACCATAAAATTGAATGAACGAACTAATTTCAGTTTCAAAAGTACTAATGAATAACCTTGAAGAATATTATATCGTTCTCTGAAATATTAAATTACGCACCAATAGTGAAGGCGAAGTCAGAATCACCATTTTCGTACCAAAAACGATCGCCTACTCGGGTTCTGTAGAATTGCTCGTGAAGAATACAAAGAAACGTCGGACCGACAAGAGCACCATTTACAATTTTCTCAAGCGAACCACCAACGGTCAAATCAACGTCATCAACATAGTCGTAAACTGCAGCCAGTTTCTCAACATTCTATATAAAGACAGAAAAAAAAGCGTAAAATTTCAAAGAGTCCCTAATACATTATTATATAAAAATAGTTTTAATAAACATCTCGATCTTTACCAACCTCAAATGAAATAACATCCAAGAAGTCATTGAAATGCTTAGCCTTCGGTAAACCGCAGTACGCACGATAATCGTTATACGAAGCCAAACCATGGTCACGATTTCTTTGTATATCGATAGCACGTAAATCGGTTCCAGTAGGTTGATTACTACGGAATAGGAATTCAGTGATCTGCGAAGAAAATGTATCAATAAAATTAATCAACCTAGAAAACCATCAAGTACCAATCACCTACCTCTTTGTCAAAGTGTTCATCACTAGCTTCTTGCGGCTGAGAAGCCATTCCTCTTGTAAGATCATCCATGTTATCAGCTTCCTCGAGGATACCAGGCTTATTTAAAACGTCGCTCAATCTGAATCCTCTGCCATTCGGTGAATAACGCAATTCATTGACCAAGCTGTATATAAGAAATCAAGACTTGATTGCAGGTTGAAAAAAGTTAATTAATAAATTTACCTCAATTTACCATGTAGACTATTTTGAAAATTTATGAATTTATACTTATAATGTATGAAAATTTTCACCTGAGACGACCAGCGATAAGACTGTGGAAATGTCGGAATGCAGCATTGGAATGTTCATTGAGTACGCTGGGATTTACTGATGAATCATAATCATTAACGTAGTCCTTGGTATGATAAAGTATCTTATGACGATAAACATTCTCCAAACCTATGCAATAAAGTATTGAATAACGAATGTACATTCCTCAGAAAATATTACAAATTTACTGTACAAACCCAAAAATAATGGTAGCCATTCGTAGTAACTGATATGTTGATATTCAGCAATAACGATTCTTCTCGTTTCCTGAAATATGGTCTCATCGCTCCAATGTGGATTGATAAGAGTCAAAATGTCAGCTACGCGATTGTGCTCCCTCAATAACATAATCTGAAGAATGGTTAACTGAGGATTCTGATTGGCACGAGCATCGCCTGTGGACGAACAACTTAATGATATTATTCATAGAATTTTATTAATCATTAAAATTCTCCACGTACCAGCCTGATAGCAAACTTCATTGTCACTTTGAATATCGCAAGTTCCAGTTTTATTGTTACTCGCAGGTGGCCATTGTCTATGGTTGCGAATATCAACGTTCATTCGCCCTCCGATACCAGCACGCAAATTGGCAACTGTTTGATCATTGGAACCGTAAATCATAGACATATCCAAGAAATGTGTTACCACAGTCAGCTGAAATGAAACTGATCTTAGTAAGCATAATGATACTTCCGCCAGATTTAAATGTAAATATCTATTGGTAGTGTATACTATCGATTATTAGACATGTGGAATTTATAATTAACGAATCGATCATTAATGCAACATTCGTGTAGTTGAAAATCACCTCAGGCTAAAACGTGTCCTTTCACTATGCATACCAAATTGAAGTGAATTAGAACAGCCTTCACTGCTAAATAAATGTCACTACAATCTCTAATTCGTTATATAATCAAAAATAGTTATAATAAATAAAATAAAGTAAATGAAAAGTTTTATACTTTCAATGAAATTCCAACATGGATAGTCTGTGCCTTTTTCATATGAATTAACTGGTCTTTGACCGTTCAGTTCGCTTGAACAGATCTGCCAATTATGTAACAACTCAACGAGTTTAATGCATTGCGGTTAGTCTAAGGTGTATCTTACAAACCTGTTCTGCAGGCTCGTGTTGCGAAGAGCAACCACGGTCGAGGTCAGTTATACTACGAACGAAGTTCATGCAGTTGGCACCATTTCTTGCAAGTACCGGATCTTCAGGTGGTATGATGACTGGGTAGCACAACGGTGACGAGAGGGCTTCCTCCAGCAAGCGATTATCAGGGGTACAACATTCTCTTGCGTGATTCTCTGATAAATGACAAATTAATGTTTGAAAAATATACATGTAAGTCCACGAAAATTAAAACAGCATATGAACCTTTTTTTCTTAATAACCATAATTAAAAAAAAAAACTTACTAGATTGAGTAGTTCCATCAATCATAGCCATATCGTGTGTGATTAGCTGACCAAATTGCATAGCCGCCAGGGTGAATTGCTTGTCCTCAATGTTTATACGTGGAAACAGGTTAAAGCTGACCCTTCTCGCTAAGGGTAACTCCCTGCCACTTACAGAATGAGTAGGCTCGTGGATTCCTTCAGAATTGAAATAAAATTTTGACAATTTAATAAACATAGTAATACAGTTTCACAGTGCTGGCTGCAGTTTCACTTGATCTCGTGATAAAGCTGGACACGACCAATGGCGCAATGAACGTTTCCTTCGCATTTCCTTCCACACGCAATAACGCTTAGAAAGTACTTATATGCGCAATTCCACAACTTTTTCTTTCGACAGTATATGTATATTTGAACTTTTAACCCAGACTGTCATTTTACCTTTTCACACCGATCAATTTGACAAGACAATATATCGTCATGGTAAATACAAAACATGATCGTGTAAGGTACGAGTCATGTAAAACTTGCAAGTTTTTAGTAATCGCGCGTAGACCAGCCGGGAATTGTGCAAAGGCAATCGAGTCTGACAAACTTCTTGCTCCGAAGTTACGACTTTACTTCATGGTTTGAAAACCATTACAGTTAACGTTTTAATGGCAATTCCTTTTGCACGGCCAAGTAAAGGAAGTCGTGTGTGACGCTGCTGCCGGGACTGGAATCAATTCAAATGCAGCACGAAATATTTAGGTTAAACGAAACTGCCTCCAGACTGGTATAGACTGCCCACGTATATTTATTACGTAAAATAGAGTGGCTTCGATGGTACTTGAAAGATATTTAGTAAATTAGATTTTCCTTACCGTCGGCGTAATTCGCTGGTAACAAACGGCTGTAACGTGTATTAGCCATTCCCCATGTAGGATTACGTGGATTGTTACAGGATCCGTCAAATGTTCTGTATCGTGACTTTTGACATTGTCTGTTGAAACGGTCACCGCACATCACGGTTTCCGCCATCGAGGGATCTATGTATATCGAGTGTCGATACCTTTGACAGATAAATAAAATACTCAGTCATATATCATTTTTAATTTTAATAACCTGCTTTCATTATCATGTGTGTGAATTTATGTAGAGCATTTACTCAACAGGATACTTTCGCAGCAATAAAAGTTGCATCTAACTTGCTACGTTTATCTATTGCTCGTTCTACTCGCTGAAGCGAATAGTCCAACTTCAAAGTTGTCGCTATACGTCAAAAAGTTGATCTCGCAAATTTTCTGGATTTTCCGGTTTTCGTGTCTGTCGAAAAAAAAATGATAATTTCACGAGGATTAATTAGAAAAGAAATTTCGTGAATTCTGAACACTGTACCTAAGGGTATGAAATTGTACAATTATGCACCGAGTATAAAAAGTGTCGAGTAACTTTACTTCCCATTTTCTCTTGTATGACTACGCGGATTGGTAAACCGAAGTTGTGCGAAGTATAAATTAACCATCGTAAAGTCGAAGTATTACGACAATGAAATAACAGAGATCTGTATGTCGTTAACGTGTAGTCTTTATAGAAATTAGTTAATGGATTTACTTACGAACTTAGTGGTGACGATGGGAACAGTGAAGAAGGTGACTTGTAGATGAAATTCTGTGGTCCAGTACTTGAAAAAATATTCCCGTACTTGCCGAAGAAACTGTGAGAACCTTGGGATACGAATCGACGTTTTCTCCCATCTGAAAAGAAACAATGAACTTGATACGCCATTCGGTTTGTTCCGATTAATTTGGTTGCGAGTGAAAATTCATCATCCGAAAGTCATTCAAGATCATTTGTTTCATCATCGTTAAGAAAATTACGACTTGAATGACTATACCGATATTGGAACAGTTATATTGAAAATGTTGCAACTGCAGTTTTAAATTGTTGTCATTTGCCTCGTTGATAAAATAAAACCGTCACGCTTCCGTGAAGACCTTGACAATCGGCAGAAATTCTTCGGAAAAAAAAAAAAAAAAACGGTACCCGACTAGGAAAGCGTGCTATCGCTTTCAAAAGTACTAAAGTTTCGTCGTAATTTCTTACTCAACTAATGTACATTGAATAATTAACTAATAACCCAGAAAACAATAGACTGATCTAATCGAACAATATTCCAGTAGGCTTGTATAGTACTGACACTTTGAAGTATAAATTTAAATAAATTTTAATGATATCCTGTTACGATTAACTATTTTGCGAATGTAATATATATATATATATATATATATATATGTTGTGACGTGATTTTTCGATTCACGGTCACAAGGCGAGTCCGGTTATCGATGCAAATAACGTTCTCGCTTTCTGGTTCCCTTCGGGTGGCCACCCTGCTCAGAAACTGCGCTCTCGGGTTGATTCGTATAGTTAGGCCAATGCTCTCGGAAGATTTCGTTATGGTTTAGTTGAGGTCGAGGTGCTCGAATCTGCCGTGGGGAGATAGTCCCGACGTACCGAGTTGCCCGGCAGAGGAGAGTACCCGACGGAGACGTCTCCACGGACTGGCAGAAGCCCGGGTGAGACACCGGTGCCCCGCTGGAGATGGGCAAAGGGCTGTAGAGCGGGTGGATTTATAGTTTTGATACGGTTAAGGGCACGGGAGGGACCCCCTGACCCGGGTTAAGGATGTGGTGGCCAGCTGTCGCCCGATGCCCTGGGGAAGCGACCGTTGAGAATATCCCGATTTGTTCAAAAATGCTCTCGATTTAGTTTAAAGGGACGACTCAAAGGAAAGAATAATAATTATTGGCCATAACGATTTCGACCAATCAGAATGATTAGTTCTCGAATTGAACTATTGTCAAATTAGGCTGCATCAGTCTGTCTTGGGACACCGATCGGGGTGCCTCGAGCTGCCTCGCGCTTACCGGCTATTTGTTTATAGTTTTTCTATCGGTGTTTCCTGTACGGTATAGGAAGTTCTCGTGTTGCTCTCACTATATCCGGAAAATCCTATAGATTTTCTGCCTGCGTTTCGGAAGTGCAGTGTTGTGCTACAGTGAAGTGTTGTGTTACAGTGTCCACGTGAGTGTCCCCTGGATGCAGTTCTCGGCCTTCACCGATCAGCTGACCCAGCTCCGGTGAGTCTCAAAATTTATTAATTGGTGGAGGGATTCCGATTTTACAGCTCCGATTCGTTCTGTCACGTTCTCCGTCATTTGCTCTCTGTATTCCGCAACCTAGCAGCCGTGTATTTCCATTCGTGCATTCAGTTGCGTTTGCTGATTTTACGCGACCCCAAAAATCTACACGATCCGTTAAGTTATCGTATTATCTGATAGGTTCCGTCAGAGCTCTCGTTTTGGTGGAGTTGGGCCTGTTTCACTCCAACTCCCAGTTCATACCGGTTCGTCAGTTCCCGGTGAAAAAAGAATTGACTGGCGCCCGCCTGGCTTGCAGATGCATAAGCAAATGGTGGACGGCCGAAAGTAACGTAGATTAATTCTCGGATTTTTCATTATCGGTGTCGAGTAATAAGGATACATTATAATGTATACAATTAATAATACCTCTACGATAAATAATGTAATCAGTCGATATTTGCGATAAACATCGCATTAAACAGGAACAGCCGTATTACAATGATTGTCTTCGTGAACCATATGAAAATATGCTGAGAGATCCGTGAGTCGATCATGACCTTTTAATACTTTCAAAATCGTGACAAATGCAACTGCATTATGCACCATCCAGGTATTTACACGATATATTCAACATACTTGAGTTTAGCTATGAGAAGCAACGCAAATGTCAAGCTTTGAAGTTGTCATAAAAAATGTTCAATTTTTGTGCAAACAAGTTAATTACTTTGAATTATACAGAAGCATAAGTACACGTGGTTATAAAAAAAAGATTACACAATAGACAATAATTCGGCATCCTGTCGAAACCTTGTCACGTGCGACACAAGACGAATAAACAATGCAAAAATGTTCTTACTCAAGAACTCTTGACATTAAAAAACAATCGATTGAATCATCACGAAATTTCATTTCTTCGTCGATAATAAATTTACACCTGTCACAAACAATAATTCCTACAGCGATTCTCCATCACTTACAGAAATGCACACAAGTTTAACCTGCACTTGATAACTTACAAAGAGTGACGCCATTGAATGCTCGTTACGTACGATTTACATACATTGATGTATCGATATCAGTTCCATAATCCGTCACGATCGAAAAGCTTGTACCTTTTTCTGCTATATAAACTGTAGTAAATCTTTGAGTGGCAAACCAGTCCGTTGAATTCAGTCGGGAATGTCATATGGAAATGTGACTTGAGATTAGAGTCGACGTGACTCGAGTCAACGGTTCGATTCTAGGCGAGGCTCAAGAGTTTTCTACATCGCGAACTCAGCACCAGTCATTAATCGCTTTATTTCCATTGCACAAGAAACGCTACGGTTCGCCCTGGCACGTTTTACTACCACTGTTACTTGCCAAAGGCATTAACGAGCTCCCGTCGTTACTTTACGAAAGTATAGCAGACGACTGACTCGGTTGTCGCTACTGTCGTTCTTCCTTCGTCCGGTAATTCTTCCGAGAAGATTGACGAGTCGATAAGTAGTACCTAGTTCGCTTGCTAGATGTAACCGCCTCTCGAATAACCTAGAAACGCTTACGTTCATCTTGTTTATGAAGATTTATCTAGATCGAATGCGTTGAATGCTCATTGTGCATTTGAACTCATTGCATAGCAATTGGACCATACGAAGGACGCGTTGTATTGTATCTAATGATTTAATCCACATTTTTAAGATTTTAGCGTTGAAAAAACGTTTGTTTCGTACTTACTGGTAAGTTTTTGTGCTGTTTGACCTTTTGGCATTAGATCCAAAAATTCTTCAGCTGCAACCAACTGCACTATAAATGCAGCAAGTATACTTGCCGCCCATAACGACATTCCTCCCATAGTTCTGAAAAAGATAATATTCAATCAACACGTTAATTTATTTCATTTAAAAACATCTTCGCGATCAATCAATCCGCCAATGTCAATTCACGTCCCGTTCGTATAAAAGCAAATATCAAAGATGCATCACATCCCGATACAATGGACTGATCACGTAGTGCATATTAAGCAATTTAATTACCAGCAAGTTGACACGACGTGACATGACATTACGTCAGAATAGAGACACGTGCTCGAACACGATATATATATGTAACCAGATAAAGTCCCGTAAACACATTTATTAGACTGTTACTTAATTTTGTTATTGTTTTCACTACGACTCTTAATTTTACAAATTCTATGTCACGGATCAGCCGATAGAAATGATTTACGTCTTGTTGCATATTTTCGGTACAATAAAAGAAGGAAGTAAAAGCGAATACAGCAAAGGACACTAAAAACTTTCGCCACGAAATTTGCGGTCACTTTTATTTTTTGTTACCCACAACATAAACGATTCCTGTGCTCTAAAAAATTGAATACGCCTCGTTGCACTTATCGACATACATATATATATATTTAAATATACATGTATATACGCATTTCACGGTTCTTAGCCGGCTGCCAAATAACAGTCTAAAAGCATTTATATACCTATTTCACGTGGATGTAAAAGTAATTGATATTATTTTGCTGAAATAAAATTTGATTCCGATGCCTTTCACTCAGTCAGGTATGACGTAAAAAGAGCTTGTTAATATATCGTGATAAGTACTTGGTTACTTTTCTTCACGAAGTTCTTTGCTACTGCAATACCATTGTCGCGTAAGTACATACACCTGTAGAGGTTAGGTAACAAAATATCTTGTCAACTGCAATTAATAAAGTGAAATGCTTGGAATTGAATACACATAACTTTACTAAGCCGTGTAACGCGTAATAAACATAACCTAAATAGCTTTTCTGGTGTGCGGTTGAAACACGTTAATTTAAGTCTCTAGAGAAATAGATGGATACGTTATACGTGTATATACAATATATATAAACTGGTAGAAATATGTGACTGACTTTAATCGTAAATCATAAGTAATTTATTGCGCCATAAACTGATAGTCTTCACAAGAAGGCATTAACGTGATCTAAAGAAATCAAATGCGTTACAATAATATTTTATATTAAATGTTATTCTTTTAATTTCAATAATGCAATTCCAATGGACTCCTACGCTTTGCTATAAGAAAGTATGATAATGAAAAAGTTCTTGCAGTTGCGTAGAAAAATTTTCAATATCATTTCTATAATCGGACACAACAATCACAACAAGACCCGTATGTAGCTGACTGTTTGAAGAATCGCGTGAAAACTAATTGGGATAATAATTTTGACTACTTGTCTTACGGGTGGGACAAATCAGGCGTTGGTCTTAGAGCCATTTTCGCAATACGGTGACCCGATTGGTAAATTCTCGAATTAAGTCATAATTCTTGGAGGCCCCCCCTATTTTTTATGGATCAGTTTACTTTCATGGCTTTAAACGTAAGTTATAGCCAGTTGCGTGATTTTCAAGCGTTGGAACGATTATGATGAATTGTCTCCGTTCCCAGCTTCTTAGCTCATACAAGGAAATGTGCTCCACGTTACATATACATACGTATAATCAAACTTAGATCCGGCGCGATGTTCGTAAGATCATTTGGCTTCGGATTACGTATGATCATTAGACTATTTTTGTCTACTTTATCATTATTACTTATGCAATGATGGACAGATGGCTAGAGAAAGGGCTCGTTCGCGTTTCGCCTCTCTACTTTCGTAACTCCCATCGGCCTGATTTGTACGAGATGATTCATCGAAATACTCGCTAACGGTGCGTGCCGACGTGTACCTCGATCACCGACTGTGACAAAATGAAGAATATGTGAAGCATGGCCGATGGCTCGTTACAGGAAAAAAAAAATGTCGCATGGTTAGCCAGGTGCAACAATAAAAAAAAAAACAATTGTACGAATCAATACGAACATTTGGTTCGCCCTGACGAAGATTTTACAGCGGGTCTCGTCTAACGACGATCTCTTTGACTTTTTAACGCAAGTGACAAAGTTGAATTTTTTTATTTGCTCAAATCGCGAAAACACGTCCGAATAAATTATTTACGGCAAGGACCTATCGATTCCAGGTGTTCTTGATTTTTTTGCGAAATTCCAACGACAAGCAGCTCCGGAGAGAATCGATTTCGCGGCGTTACGTAACAATTGCTATTTCCTCGCCATGCTAATTGGTCCCGCTGACGCGCTATGGCCCCGAATTGTAATCAAGGAATTTGATGGTGAAAAACAAAAAAAAATGACCCGCTCCACCTGGAGCAATAATTTTGCAATTTGAGAAGCTGCTTCAAGAGACACGTTCCGTTGGAAGCATTATCTCACATTAAAATGACCAGTGACTTTGATAATTGGAAAGTTATCTGGTGCAACGTTAAATATAAATTCTATCCTAATCTCACCTCGATTAATAACGTAATCACTGACGTATTCGAAATTTCTTGACGGACAGGATCAGCAATATTTGGATTCTAATGCCCACACGGTGTAAGAACGTAAGACGTGTCAAATGTAGTTCAGAACTTTCACGACTGCTTATAACATTTTTGACAGGAAGCTGTCTCGACTGGACCGTTCAGAGTCCGAAGGGAACTGTAAAATTTTGAAAAATTCATTCTTATCAAGGGACCACGGTAATGGTGGACAAAAATATTTTTTTTTATCTATCATCTTGATAACCAAATTTGGGTCTGAAAAAAATTTTTATGAAAATTTCATAAGCGTCGGATTTTATTTTTTTTTATATAGGGGGGGTTGATTAAGTTTTTATTTAATATAATAGTTTCTTGGAATCGTTCTGCGTAAGCTGTTTGGAATAGCCTATACGATCGGTAAATATGGAGAACGAAACGTATCCGTATCTCAGTTACGTAGATTTCACGTGTAAGGCTTTAGGTATCCTGCTCTCGCTGATTTCGCTTTCGTAGGAAAATGTCTTATTCGGGACAACCGGATCCTTCGACCTTACATTCCGAGGTCTGGAGGTCGACGTTTGCACGCTTCACCGAAACAGGACTGCGCCACTACCTTAGATCTTTGTAAACCGGAAGCAAGGTATACGCACGAGTCGAAAGCATGGTTATCTGCTAAATCAAAGCTCCTAAAGGTTTCGCTAACGAGGACCTATTCCCTGTTTCTCTTTGTCGTGTATTATTAGGAGACCTTAGACGGCGTCCATGCGTTCCGGGTTACAAGGCTATACTCTTGTTATTATCAAGAAATAGTGATCGTATCTTTACCACATACGTATATCAGTATAACAAGGTCGATAAACGGCACTAGATCTCGCCTCGAAAAATCGTTAAGAAAATTTGGTTCCTATTTTTCATTAAAAATGAGGAATTGTTATTATTATATTGAAAAAAATTATTTTTTTTTATATTCACGGTATACCGGTTAAATATAAGTGGGTAAGATGTGAGACAGGTAAATTTCTATCGTGTATCGTTATATTTAAATTGTCAGTGTAGATCGAGAAATTGTTTAAGAATTTGTTGTATAATAAAATTTTAATTTTTTACGAGCAGATATCATTTTTATTTTTCAATTTAAATTTATTTTATTGCTACTCGAATTCAGTTTATGTAATACAATAGCATGCGAGAACTTGGGGTTGAGTGAAGTAAAAATTGGAATTTCAATTTTAGAAAATCTTACACGTTTGTTTTAATATCGTTATTACATGTATCGTTGCATGAACGTGACAATTAATTAGCGTGCAACAATGGTGTGGATTACGCGGATAATGTTGAAACGTATTATTACGTGGTGCAACGTTACACTTTCTATGTTCGAAATGTTTTTTAAATTGGAGTATCAATCAAAATCATTAATTTGTCGATCGGTTGTCGGTAACACGTCAAAAAAAAATATGTTCTGATACATAGATTTTTTAGGAAATTTTTGTTTATTGCACTTTCGAATACCTTAGAACAGCAACGGGGATCCCTGGCACGTGTAAAATTACTTCGGAGCTGTGCGATAAAATGTGATGTCACTTTCCATGCCAATTAGATGTAACATTAAAATCGCCGAACGTAACGAGGCGAATCGATACATTGTTATTACAGTCAATATAAAATCTGTCATCACAATTGAGTATAATTAAAATTTGAGTAAATTTCGATAAAAAATAAATATCTTGACGTTCAATATATTCCATGGAAAATGTAAACAGTTAGAAAAAAAAAGCACGTGGAAATCGTACAACGATTACACACTGTATACGTAAAATATTTTTTTATCACAAAAAAATCAATTTTTGACTTTGACTTTTAAAAAATTTTTTTTTTTTAGCTTTTATAATGCACTGGATTCGTCAATTAAATTTTGCACCACGTTCGCGAGATTATGTCGGTGCGAAATTATTAATCGATATCAAGTGTAAATGTGTCGTGAATCTGTGACGTGTGTGTACAGTCGGTTTAACGTGACTACGAGAACATTGGTGAAATGTTATAGATTCGATAGGTACCTGTCACGGGATATAATCCGGCAATTGTTCGCAGAAAAGACTGAACAAGTAGACTGTTCGAGCGATGTTTATAAATGACGAGAGAAAGTACAGGGGCAGGACTAGACGGAAACCCCACGCTGCCAAAAGCTCTTCGTTCTTCCACTCTTGTTCCACTCCTTGGAGTCGCGTCCATGAAAACGCGACGCTGGGCGTCCAGAGCCATTCGTGACTTTCTAAATAATGGATAAAAATTATCCTGATTATAATAATTTAATTAAGTCCGATTCGTGTATTTCGATGGTATCGTTTGAGATACGTAAAAAGAAAAAAAAGAAAAAAAAATGAACGGATTAAATAATCCAAAATTATCTGGTCGGAATAAATATATTTGCAAAAAGAATTTTCTAAAATGACCCATAAAAGCGCTTGGATGCTTGTAAACATTCGAATGAACCTTATATGATATGTAAAAATCTTTTTGGAACGATATTAACATATTTTGAACATTGACTTTTTTTTTTTTTGAAAGATAATCAGATTTATTGTCTTTATATATTCTGTTGTTGGCAGTTTTCGAAATTTCTCAAAATTACGTTCAAGTGCTTTTGAACTATTGAATTTCCGTACTTTCTTCTTTTAATGTACTCTTGATTTTTTTTTTTTTTTTTTTTTTTTTTA